GCTCTATCACTGGGCTAGAGAGATGGCTCAGCAGTAAAGAGCACATATTGCTCTTACAAAGAACATGAATTCAATTCCCAGTACCTATGCTGGGCAGCTCACAAGCACTTGTAACTTCAGCTCCAGAAGGATTTATCTCTGGTCTCTGCAGACAGACAGACAGACACACTGTTTTTTGTTTTTTTTTTTTTGGGGGGGGGGGCTCTACTACTAAACTACATTCCCCAGCCCTCCATCTGTCTGTCTGTCTGTCTGTCTACAGGTTCTCCCTGTGTAGCCCTAGCTGGCTTGGAACTTGCTATGTAGACCAGCGTGGTGTCAAATTCAGAGATCTACCTGCCTTTGCCTCTCTAGTGCTGGGATTAAAGGCGTGTGATACCGATTAGCTAAATTGGTATTTTTTTTTTTGGGGGGGGGAATCCTAATAAGTTATTGTGTACTAATTACCTGTTAGCCTCTTTGGGGTGTAAGTATCTTTGGTCTATAAAAGTTCATTCTTAGTGGTGGTGCATGCCTTTAAATCTCAGCACTTGGGATCTCTGTGAGTTCAAGGCCAGTCTGGTTAACAAAATGAGTTCCAGGAGAGCCAGGGCTGTTACACGGGGAAACCCTTTTTCAAAAAACAAAACCAACCCAAAGAAGACAAAAAGCAAAAAATTCACTCACATCTGTTACTTTTCATAGAACACTAGACTGATGTTATATGTAATATTTACTACTTTGATATTTGTTCTTTGTGTGTGTATTCATGTGCAAGTGATCATGTGTGCAGGTGTGTATATATAGGTACATGTTATGACCAGAGGACATCCTCTGGTGTTTTACTTCAGAAATATTATTATTATTATTATTATTATTATTATTATTTTTTTTTTTTTTACAAAAGGTCTCTCATTGGCCAGGACTCACCAAGTAGGTTAGGAGGACTGACCAATGAGCTTCAGCGATCTGCCTGGCTCTTACTTTCCCAGTGCTGGGATTATGAGCACATGCCACCGTGTCTGGCTTTTTCCTACGGGATGAAGGCCTTGAACTCAGGCCCTTGTACTTTGCTTATTTTTCATGGATACAGCTATGGTTGTGTTGTGATCCAGACTCTCTTTTAGTTTCCCTCTGTAACGCTCGGGTTTTGTTATTGTTTGGATGTAAAGTATTCCTCCAAAAGGCTCACATAATAAAGGCCTGACTACCAAAGCAGCGAGGGTCAGAGGTGGGGCATTTGGAAACTGATTACCAGGCCTCATTGATCCATTATGGAATCAGATTATGGCAGTATTAGAAAGTGGGAGCAATTGGTAGGTGGGGCCTAGTTGGAGGAAAGAGTACCCGGGTTGTGATTTATCACCTCCTGCATCCCTTTCTGCTCCCTGGCTGCTGGGAACTGAGTAACTTTGCTCTGCTAGGCCTTTCTCTCATGGTGTTCTGTCTAAACAGGGCCCAGAAACAAGACAAACCAGGGGTTGAAACCTCTAAAGCTATGACTTAAAAACAAACATTTCCTTCCTCCTTATGAGATCAGTTACAGTGGCGAAGTAACATACCCTCCAATGTTTCTGCCTCAGGGAGGACCAAGTCTGGTTTACCCTTTAAGCCTTTTGAAGTAGACCCTTCCCTCGGCCTTCAGTCTGTCACCAGTGAGCTCGGGATCCATAACTTCCCATTGCGCTACCCACTAACCCAGCAGTCCTTTATGGAGGCTACCGTTTCTCTCACCACAGATGCCCCTAGCTTTGAAGTAGGGTACCTTGTTCCTTACTGAATTTGCAAAGCCCTGTTTTATCCTCTGCCAGGACTCCTAGCTCAGACATGTCGTTAGCTATAATGGCCAGCCCCCACCCATCACTGTGGCTGAATTAAATAGTCTCAAGGGCTAGCCTCCATTTCCCTACCACCACAGCCTTGACCACCTCCACCCAGTCACCACAGAAGCTGTCCCTTCCAGTTATTTCCATCCAACGTCCCATTCTCTGTCAATCACCTGTCTCAGCCCAGCAGAAGGGGTTGGACCCTCCAGGGAGGCTGCCCACTGATTCCCTGTGTGGACAGAGTAGTGGCAACAAAATCACAAGGGCCTGGGCACATCGGTGGGTTGCTGGCAACGCAGCAATGGGAATACCACCCCTTAAACCTTTCTGTAAGATGGGCCCTAGGCAGAGCTGTGGGTGGTAACAACAGAAGCAGAGGAAGACATTCATAGAGCAGACATTCATAGAAAAGATAAGGGCAGAGTAAGCTGGATCAGAGTAGCGAGAGAGCTCCACAAGTAGGTTTTGTGGGAGTTGACAGAAGGGCATTGTCGTAGGGCCTGCAGGTACCCACTGGTTGAGGCCTGACCTGGTCTTCTCAGGCTGCAACTCTCAACGGAAGAGACTAAATTGGGCCTTGGGTAAAGGAGCCTACAACTTGTCGAAATGAGTGGTCAATCTCTCCGGCTGGACCAAGGGTCTGGGGAAAGTCTAGATGTGAAAATGGGGGTAGGGAGTCAGGGTTACAAGCAGGCCCTTCGGAAAGCCCAAGCAATTGCACCTGGGACCCATGTGCACTGTGTACCTGCGCTGGTGGGGACTGATGGCAATGGTTTGGACCCAGCTGCCCCTTCTAGCTGCGCCCCCCTCCCCGACCCCCGCCAGAGCCAGAGCCAGGCCTGCCTATTCGAACGGTTCCCTCCGAATTGCCTGGCCCTGAGACCCAGGCCCACATGTGTCCAGGCATAGTCTCTTTCATCAAGGGGGTTAGGAGCCAAAGGAGCGGGGAGATGGACAAAGAGGGGGCAGAGATATGTACAGAACGTGAGATTGTATGAAAAGGTGGAGAAAAGAGGGCTGAGCACAGCGCGACAGAAGAATGGGAAAGACTGGAAGGGCCAAGGACCACAATTAAGAGAGAAGGGACCGGAGGGGCAAAGTATGGGGACAAGAAATAGACAGGATGACTGAGACTGTGAGGGGACCTGGAGGAAATGAGAGGATAGAATCGGGGACGGGGACAATGTCCAACGGAGCAAACGGAGGGGTGGTGGTGGTTTAGGATCGAGCCTGCCAGAGCCCCGAGGGTCCGTCTGGTAATTAGACCTTGTTCCAGATGAACCCCCCACTCCCGTCCGGCAATCAAAATGCTAATTGGCCTGCCGCCTCCGGCTGCGCCTCAGCCGTTCCCCTCTGGGAAGGAGCCGGGACTAGCGGTGTGGCTGGCGGGGAACCCTCGCCCCCCACCCCCTACTGCGAGCTTCGCCGGCTGCTGCTCAGCGATAAGGGGGAGGCCGCACTCGCCCTGCCCCTCGGGAGCGCCTGCCACGCAAGATGAATGTCCCGCCGCCGAGGAGCCGGGCCCGCTAGCATGAAGCAGGCCAAGTGGTCTCCACGCTCAGTGTGGGGCAAGGAGCTCACACCCACCGTGGCCGGACGCGAGGCAGCGGATGCAGGTCGCGGCAGCCCAGCAGGCGGCAGGAGAAAGGGAGCTGAGCTCAGCGCTGCTGCGCCGCCCTGCCGGGCCAGTCCGGGGAAGGTCACCACGCCGCCGCAGTCCCCGCTGGCCGCTCCGCGACCCTGGTCGCCAGCCCGAGCAGACCGCGCGGGGAGACCTCGGCTCAGAGACCCCCCAACGCGAGGAGAGGGCGGCGGAGGGACAATGGCGGCGCCTGGCCCTAATTGGGGACATATGCACCCGCGCGCGCGGCCATTGTGAGGCCCCCAACCCCCCAGTGCCCCGCCATTGGCCATTGGGCTTGACGTCATGGGGGCTGCAAACTCCGGGCGGGCGGCCACAGGAAGGGTTATCCGCCTGGTTGCAAGCCGCCTGGGGAAACTGCAGATGCGCGGAAGGGCGGAAACCACCAATGGAGCGGAATTTCTGGAACAGGGGCACGGCAGCCCCTCTCACCATGCACACTCATGCCACGGTGCCGGACATCCGTCCCGAGGGAGAGGTGGGGGCAGAGAGGTCCCTCCAGCGGGCACAGGGTCAGCCGAGGTGACAGAGTGGCAGGAGGCACTGCGGCACAGGGCGCACACAGGCTTCCACACTGCGATTTTTTTCGCTGCCTCAGCATTCGCTTCTTGGGTCTCCCGCCTCTCCCCGCCTCCTCACATCCCGCGCCTAAGCCTACAGACTTTATAGGAGGGAGCGCAGGCTCGGCTGGGGTCCGCTCGCGTTCCCCCTAAAAGAACCAGAGTCTGGGGTGCGGAGAGGGCCGGGCCCATTCCCACCTTGCCCCACGCGGCCGACTCCGCCACCGAGTGTCAGGTCGCCATTCCCCGAGCCGCACCGGGGAACTCCGCACAAGTCTAGGCGAGGCATCCCCGGGACCCCTCCCAGGAGACCCTGGCCCGACCCAGCCCGGCGCAGCCATTTCCGCCGGCCTTTCTCCCCTCCCCGCCCACCCCCTCCCCCAGCGCTTGGCTTTAAAAGCCAGAGGCTGCGCTCGGCGGTAGGCAGAAGAGGCTTGCGGGCTCAGGAGGCCTGCCCCGGAGCTGTCCGAGAGCGGAGCCCCGCCCCCGGACCCCCGTCCCTCCCTCTCGCCTTCCCTTTCTCGGCCCGCCCTCCCCGAGCACCCCTCCCCCTGAGGACCCCCGCCCGCCGCCCGCCGCCGCCGCCGCCGCCGCCGCCCGCTCCGACTGCAGAACAATAAAGCCAGCCTCCCAGAGACCCCCGCCGAGGACCCCCGCCCGGCGACCAAGCCCGGGTGGCCCGCCCCTCTCCGCCAGCGCCAGCTGAGCGCGTCCGGGCGCTGGCCGCGGTGCTGCCCTAGCCAGCGCTGGCCGCGGTGCTGAAGCTGCTGCTGCTGCTGCTGCTGCTGCTGCTGCTGCTCCTGTCGCTGCTCCTGTCGTGTTCTCTTGGCCCCGCGCTGCCGCCCCCGGGGGCATGGGGCGCCGCTGACTGAGCCTCCGCCGCCGCGGCGGGGGGGGGAGGGGAAGGGGGCCGTGGGGCCGGGCCAGCCCTGCACCCATTCGCAGCCTCCGGGCCCGGGACGGAGCCGCTCCCCCCCTCTCCGCCCCCCCCAAGCCTCCTCCCCCGCCTGTCCAGGGGCGGCACTGCGGGCTGGGAAGCCGGGACCAGAGGAGGGAAGGAAGGAAGGAAGGAAGGAAGGAAAGAAGAGAAAAGAAGAGAAGAGGAGGAAGGAAGGAAGGAAGGAAGGAGAGAGAGAAAGAGAAAGGAGGGATCCGGAGGGGAAGAAGAGACGCAGGGCAGAAAGAAGAGAGGACCACACTCGCCCAGCAGCATCCACAGGCCAGACTGGGGACAGGGCTGCTCCCACCGCTCCTCGGATGGTGACGGGGCCTCGCCGCGGACGCAGTCCCCCCGAGCCCCGGCTCTGCAGGCCCTCACTGCCGGAGCCCCGCAGGAATCATGCCCAGGTCCTTCCTGGTTAAGAAGGTCAAACTTGACACATTCTCTTCGGCAGACCTCGACAGCTCCTACGGGCGCGCCCGCAGCGATCTCGGAGTGCGACTGCAAGATAAAGGTGCGCTCTGGACTGCAGCTGGGGCCGGGCCCAGGGCTCTGCAGGAAGGGGTGGGTGGCCAGAGTGTGGGGGTGGAGGGGCCGGGTAGGAGGGGGTGTAGATCCAACGGGGGCAGCCTGAAGCTGGAACGGAGAATGAAGGCTGAGGAGAGGGGAGCGGAGAGTAAGGCCAGGCAGCTTCCAAGACTGGGCAGAGAGTGGGTGCGGGAGAGGTAGGAAAGAGGGATCAGGAACAGGAAGCGCTAAAGGCGCACACACACAGAGACTTGTGCTGAGACAGACACGGCTGCACGGACACCTGCTAACGTACCAGGACCCAGTTAAATGGGCACATGCAAACCCACACCCAAAAATCTGGATCTGTTTCACTTCTCTTTGGCTGTACCTTCAAAGCCTCTTGCTAGGGCTAGCTAGGGAATGCTGGGAGCTCTAGGGAGTAGGCACGGGGTCGGGCAGGGCCACCCACCTGTCAGGGCCTAGGAACCAGAAGATGCAACAGCAGTGTCTCCCCTGGCCTCAGGATTAGGGAGGAAGAGGTGAGCAGGGAAAGCCAAGGTACTGGAGTCAGGGGAGGCTCTTTGTGTAAGGATGGCCAAGTTCAAGGACAACTGTTAGCATGCAGGCAAGGAGGACAGGAGTGCCAGCAGTGTGGGGTGGCAAAGCAAGTGTGACCTGCAAGAACATAAGCCTGTGTGGGCCCATGTGACTGCGTGTGGCCATGTGACTTTGTGCGTTTGTGTGTGACCCCGTGTGTGTGTGTGTGTGTGCCTGCCTGTGTGCCACTACATGAGACCACGTGACTCTGAGGCCGCTGTGCACCATGTGACCGAGAGTGTGTCTGGATGACTGCATATGTGACCGTGCATGTGTGGGCGTTGAGTTCCAGCGCCAGGGTCAGGGTACAGCCTTTCCTGTGAGATGGCACTAGGCCCGATGGCTGCTTGAGAGCCCGAGCGTAGCCCTGAGAGAGTCAAAGCCTGCATTGTGAAGGGTATGCCTTCGTGATTCTGAGATCGTGAGAGCCACCTTGTGCCTTCGGAGCATCTGCAGTTGCTGGCACTAACGTCCACCTGCAGCTTGTCTCTCTGCTGAGGTGTCCCCTAGTGGATGCCCTGGCGGCCTGCCTAGTCCCCTGTTGGAGGCTGGAGAAGCTCTCCAGAAGGGTTGGGGCACGGGGAGAGAAGAAGAATGCGGAACAGAGTAGGACCCAGGATCGCAGAGAGTGGGTAGAGAGGTATGGTGCGTGGTGAGTTCTAGCTGCGAGGGTAGGGCTCGAATCCTGCGAGGGGTTAGAGAGGTGGAAGGCGAGGGAGCGCTGGTGATGGCCAGCGATGCTGGCTAGGTGGAAGTCGCTGGGCTTTCGTCGGCACACCTAGGGAACAAGAGGGACAGCTCCGGGTCCGGAAGCAGATTCTGGAGGCTTGAAAAAAAGGCCCCGGGGATCCCGAAGAGGCAGAACCGTCGGGGTCTCTGGGCTTGAGGCCCTGGCTTTGTGCGCGGCGGGTCTGCAGTGTGTTGCATAATCAGGGAAAAACTGCTGAAGTGGGGAGAACCCGAGGGGGAGGGGGAGGGGGAGGAGGGAGAGAGCAGCGCCGCCCCTCCCCCCTGACCTTGAGGCTCGCTGAAGGGGGGCAGCCGCGCCCGAAGATGCATCTCTCTCCTCCCCGCGCGGGGGCGGGGCGCTTGGGCGGCGGGGGAGGAGCCCCGCCAGGGCCCTGTCTCATCCTCCGCTGTCTCTCTTCTCTCCCCCCCCTTCCCCTCCCCACGCTCTCCATCCTCTCTGCCCCGTGGTCCCTGGCCCCTTCTCCTTTGTCCCAATCCCCGTGCGCCCTCCCCTCGGACCCCGCCGCGTCTCCTCGGTCTCCCGCCGCCCGCTTTGCGTGTGCCTGCCTCGCCCGCTGCTCCGCTCCCCTCCCGCTGTCTGTCTGTCCGCCTCCGCCCTCAGGATACCTCAGTGACTACGTGGGGCCTGCGTCGGTCTACGATGGCGACGCCGAGGCGGCGCTGCTCAAAGGGCCATCCCCGGAGCCTATGTACGCTGCGGCCGTGCGCGGAGAGCTGGGTCCCGCGGCCTCCGGCTCGGCGCCTCCGCCCACCCCGCGGCCGGAGCTGGCGACCGCCGCCGGCGGCTACATCAACGGCGACGCGGCGGTCAGCGAGGGCTACGCGGCCGACGCCTTCTTCATCACCGACGGCCGTTCTCGCCGCAAGGCCGCCAACGCCAACGCGGCCGCGGCCCCCTCCACGGCCTCGGGGGCGGCCCCCGACGGCGACGCCGGAGGCGGGGGCGGGCCGGGGAGGGGGCAGAT